CCGTCTTGATGTAATAACTTCCACAGACTTTCTCTATGAATGCTATCAAAAGCAGCGGTAAAGTCGAGAAAGGCAACGTAGGTTGGCTGCCTGTACTCATGGCGCAGTTCTAGTAGGTGTCGTAGGGCACTAATTTGGTCAATACACCCTCTCCCTGACCTAAAACCCACCTGATTTTCCCGGGTTCTTTGTTGTCGTCCATCTTTTATACGATTCAGTATTATGGCCTCAAGAATCTTATATGCCAAATTAATTAGTGAAATTCCTCGGTAGTTTTTGCACTCGGTTTTAGTACCTTTTTTGTATAAAGGTAGTAGCAATGCAGTTTCCCAATCCTTTGGAATTTGTTCTTCCTTCCAGATAAGACTGAAAACACTTTCCATTGCACTAATCACATGGATACCACCGGCTTTAAAAATTTCGGCGCCAGGGGCCTTGTTATTTTTTAGCTTTTGAATGACTGCCGCAATTTCTAATCCTGATGGCGGCAAATGCTGAGACAAGGAACGTCCCTGCCCTCCCCCAATCACCGTGGCAAGGACCGTGACCTGTCTGCGAAGCGTATTGGGTGCCAAACCTTTGTTAAGTCCAGATTGCAGAAAGTCCAACACTCGGGGCACCAAATCCTGGAGGGGGTCTGCCCCAGCCCGTCGGCACCACCTGCAGAAGGCCTGCCAGGTAGCCTCGTAAATTCAAGTGGTGGAGGGACGACGGGCGCTTGAATTGTGTCAATGACCTCGCTGGAATAATGAAGGTCAGTCAGAATAGTCCACTCACGTGCCACACGGCTAATTGTAGCAACTGGTTGAGCCGGATCTGATCGTCCGGAATCCTCCACGGGCGTGAGATCGACAGGTGCACCAGGTCAGCATACCAGGTTCGCCGGGACCACATCAGAGCCACCAAGAGAATCTCCGCTTGTTCCTATAGTATCTTCTGGATGACCGCCAGAATCACTGGTAGAGGCGGGAAGGCGTAGAGAAGGCCGGCCGGCCACAGGCTGCGCAAGGCATCCACTCCCTCCGCCCCGGGAGTCAGATACCTGGAGTAAAACCGGGGCAGTTGCACATTGTGGGGCTGCGCAAACAAGTCCACTGCTGGATAGCCAAACCGGCGGGAGAGTTGCTGGAAGAGGTCGGGGTGGAGCTGCCACTCCACATGATCCATTGTGGCTCTGCTCAGCCAATCTGCCTGGACGTTGGAGTCGCCCGAAATGTGTTCCGCCCGAAGGGACAACAGTCTGGATTCCGCCCAATGATGCAATTTCTCTGCCTCCAGCATGAGGGCCCTGGAATGCATGCCCCCTTGGGGGTTGACATGTGCCTTGGAGGCCACATTGTCGGTTAAGATCAGAACGTGTTTGTGAGTCACAATGGACCGTAACTCTAGCCAATTGATGCTGTTGGACAGCTCCCGGTCCAACCAACGACCCTGCGCCACCCGATC